ATTCTCATGACATCTTACGTAGGACAATCATTGATGAGGTGTTTGGGGTTGTTGATGCCTATGTCCATCGCGATCTCGACTGCTTGGTTGCGTAGGTCTTGTGGTTTGACTTAGGTCTTGTGTTCTGAACGTCGTAACTTCTTCATAAGATGTCAGATTTTAACGATCTTTATATCCACGTGTTTATTTTTTGAGTTTACAACAACTTTCGTTAAGATTACTCCCGTTAAAATGTAATATATTTTTACTTACGATTTTATATAAAAAAAAATCATACATGCATTCAGTGTTGTAAATATCGGCCTAGGCGGAAGCCTAGGCGGCGCCTAGGCGCTTGACGGTCTGCAACTGATTACGATTAGGGGTGCTTGGCGGAAATTGGTCAATATCGGTCAAACTCGGGCTAGGCGGTCCTCGGCGGTCCTTGACAGGAAGATTTTAAAAAATTCAAAATTTCAAAATTTCAAATATTACACCAAAATTTACAAACTTCAAAATTATAAACTTTTAAATATTCAAATTTTCAAATATTATACCAAATATTTCAAAACTTCAAAATTTAAAAATTTTAAATTTTCAAATACTATTTTTTCTTAGGATATATTAAGTTTTAAAATAGTTTTATTAGTAATTTATGGTCCCCGATTAATCCTCCGATTAATCCCCGCCAAACCGATTAATCGCTTGACCCCAGTCGACCGCCGAGCTACCGCCGAGCTATTTTTACAACCTTCCATGCATTCATAAAAAACGTACGGATATAAAGATCGTAAGTAAAAATATATTACTTTTAACGGGAGTAATCTAAACAAAAGTTGTAGTAGACTAAACTACGAACACATTAATATAAAAATCGTTAAAATCCGAGATCGTATGAAGAAGTTATCATGTCCAAAACACATGACCTAAGCAACCAAGTAGTCAAGATTGCGATGAACATAAGCATCAAAAGCCTCAAACACCTCATTAATGATTGTCCCACGTAAAATGCCGTGAGAAAAACCTAAAGAAATCATTCACAAGTACTGAATGAGTACAAAAACAAAAATCACTTATTTTGCAACAAAAAAAATATTAAGGACTAAATGTGTACAAAAATATTAAGGACTAAATGTGTGCTGATGCGACATGGACCTCTGACGATTCTTCTTGTCTTCCGCTGCGACGGAGATCTGGACATCACAGAGCAAGGTCGTTAGAACCGCCCCAGGGACTGTGCCCCGGGAGCAGGCTTTGACGATCAAGTTAGATCGGATTTGATGGATGAGATTGTTCTCCATAGCTGGAGAGAACCATCTTGGTGTTGGGGGTAGTGTATGGCGGCTGAAGGCGGAGGATGGCGGCTAAGGCACCCGGCCGGAGTCTAGAGTGGCGGTTAAACCAAGGGAGAAGCCCCCTTTCCATAGAGGAGACACTATTTTATTTATAGTGGACAGTTAGGTCAGGCCTTGGGCCAGCCCAATTCAGGCCTAGCTAGCAAGGAGCTGGACAAGGCTGCCCGGAGGCACCGGACGCGCACCAGGAGAGGATGGCAAGGGAGCGCCAGACAAGGCTGACAAGGGAGTCCTCGGCAAGGCTGGCAAAGGAGTCCCCAACAAGGCTGGCAAGGGAGCGCTAAACAAGGCTGGCGCGCTAGTGCTGTCTAGGCCATGCTAATGGACCATATATCATCAAGTCCCCCAAGTCCGATGTTATTGGTACGCGGCCAATGACATTGGACTGGACTTAGTCATATAAAATGTATGTCATCATGTACAAAGTAAGAAATATATTATCCTATTAAGTCATATTTACCGGCTAATCTGAAGTAGCCGTTAATAAGGATTGAATGTGTACAATTTAAGAAGTTGAAGGGGTAAATGTGGATAAAAAAAACTCAGTGACCAAATGTGTACAAATCGAAAAATATATTATCCTTTTAAGTCATTATCCCTTTATTATTTTTGTAAAGTTTATAGATAAAAAAATTTATAATATATAAATATATACTATAGTAATGAATCGTTTGTATATGAGTGAATATTTATATTAAAATACAATGTGTTTAAAACACAATTAGTTAAATGTAAGGGTTTATATAACATTTTAGATAGATAAGGGTAAACTAATTAAATTAATGAAAAAAGTTATAAAAAGATTTAACCATTGGAGAAACAATTTAATTAGGCTGGTGGGTGTGGTTCGGTAGAAAACTCGGCAAAATTGATGTGGCTTCGGCGAGCACCGCGCCGTGACCGTGGCAAACACAATTCGTCACTATAACTTATAACTCAACATATATATCTATGGATGACAGAGAAACACTTTTGAATTGAAAGTTTCAATATTGGTCTCTGAAAATTATTTTTTACTACACCTTTTACCCCACACTTAAAATGAAAAATACTATATTTACTCTTTAACTTTATAAAAATTGACATTCAGATTTATTCTCTTTCATTTAATGTTTAATACTCTTTATTATTTTAATTAAATCCATTCTATTTAAGTTAATTATTATTATATCCCAAAAGTATAAGTTAATTATTATAATACTCTTTAGTTTTAAAATAACTTGTTTAAATTAATTATTTTTAATATACTTAATTTACAAAAAAAATGATAAGTGTGACAACCCACGCCTTCTAAATGACAAATGTGGCAAACTGTGACAAATATAATGTGGTGTTGATGTGGACCCTAACAAGTGTGACACTACACCCACCAGTTTTAGAGGTCAATATAACTAAATAGTGAGGTGACAATTTTATTTTTTCGTTAACCTATCATATAGATTTATGATCGGAGATGTTCTAAGCTCCCATTAAAAATGTTTTTAGTTTCAGATACTACACATGCAACTTAAACCGCAAAAATGAGCCACATTAATTTTTGAAAACTTTTACTCAATCTATATAAAAAAATGTAATTTACTCTAAGGAAAACGACCACTTTCAATCATTGAAGCTTTTCCTCTTCAATATTAAAAAGTTTAGAGCACCCGGTATGGGCCTCAACGAGAAGAAACGAGGGTGAGGTGGCACGGCTCAACGCCGTCTTAACGAGGGGAACACCGCCTCCTAGCTCGTTGCATCTCGTCGGTTGAATCTCGTGGCCATGGAAACGAATTGAAACGGGAAAAAAAGAACCGTTGCTTGTGACCGTTTGCAACGGTCAATTTTTAAACAATTTTTTTTACCATTTTACCTATAAATATTACTTTTAAATAATTTTTTTTAAACCTTTCTCTCATTCTCTCTATATCTTATACACATATTTTCTTAAAATTTCAAAAAATGGAGCAAAACCCAAACACCCCCCCTCCATCATCAAACCCAAACACAACCTCGCCTCTCGGATTTGCGGAGTATGAAAATTATTTCAACCTTTTATCGTCTCAAGGTTCACCACAAATCTCATACCAAGGCGCCGCCTTCAATCCCGCTTCACCGCCACTGCAATTTCCCAACTCACCTTACCTTCAACAAAATCAATTTGGTCAAAACCCAAATTTACAACAAAATCTTTTCTCTACTTTTGGTTCGATGCAACAAACAACCAACCAACCATCGCCTACAACACAACCATCGGTTCAAGTGGAAGCGGGATGTAGTAAGAAAGGGAAAGGGAAAGGAAAATCGAAAGGGAAATCAATAGCAGTAGAAACAGAAAATACAGACGTTCCACAATGGTGGACACCGGAGGAGGAATACGCTTTGACGGCGACTTGGTGTGCTACTTCAAAAAACGAACTTCGCGGAAATGGAATGAAAAAAGGAGCTTATTGGGGGGCGGTGCTCGACAAGTTTCACGCTATTTTAAAGAAAAATCCGTATCACAACAATGACATGTTGAACAGCAAATGGGGTATGATAACTAAGCGGTGCAGCAAATTCAACGGTATTTACAACCGACTTGAGGCGCAACAACAAAGTGGAACCAACGACTTCGATTTGTTCAAATCTGCTAAGGAACAATATCGGGTTGAAATGGGTCATGTTTTCGACTTTGAAAAATCATGGGAATTGTTGCGAGCGGATCCAAAGTGGAATAAAACGCCTACATCGTCGGAGGTTCAATCCAAAATGTCTCGCATTTCTAGCTCGGTCGACGTGTCGGACGCACGGACTAACATCGACCTAAACGCCGACGACGATGAGATCCCGGATGATATCCAAGAGATATCCACACCACGACGACCGCCCAGACGCGACAAAGCGAGGCGCGCTGCAAGACATGCGGAGGAGGTGGAGACGAGAGCAAAAGATGCGGCGGAAATGAGAGCGAAATTCGACGAGCACAATTTATTAATAAAAGAAAAAAATGAGTTGAAACGTCGTCATTTGGAGTTCCTGGAAAGGCAGGCACGGGAGAAGCAGGAGCAAAAAGAGAGGGAACTAATGACACATCAGTTGTCAATTCTTCGGACGAGCGAGGATGGTTTGGCGCCTGCTGATCTAGCGGTGCTACAAGCGATGAAGGAACAAATTAGGAAGAAATATTTGGGTTAATTATGATTGTTATGTGGTTTTAGTAGTAATCTGAATGATATTTTAATTATAATATTAGGTTTAAAATTATGTTTTTTTAATTGTAATCTTAATTTTAGATTTTAAATATTATGTCTTTTTTTTTTTTAATTTTTTTTTATAAAAAATATATTCATGTTAGTGATTAAAAAAATACAAAAAAGAAAAAAACGAAAAAGAAAAAAAAAAAAAAAAGTAAAAAAAAAAAAACCCAATTTCAGAAAAAAAAAAACATATTTACTTTCAAAAAGTTGTGTTGCATCTTGTTGCCCATTTCCCCACTTGGTGTTATAACATCACTTGTTTATGTGGCATGTGATACAACTTGGTGTTGCATTTTGATGTCCACACCCAATGCTCTTAAAGATTTAAAGATTTAAAGATGTTTTTCATTTTTTTCTTTTTCTTTTTTCATTTTTTTTTGGGTAAAAATCTACCGATGTTTAACGGCTTAACGCCCTAGAGTTACGACGTCGTAACAAGCAATTGTGCAAGTAGCTGTAAGAGTAAGCGAAGTAAAACTCCTGGCTAGTACTGTTGTCGAGAACCAGAAATTATCATCGCATTCACCACAAAAAAAAACCCTAAAAAAACCAAAACCAAATACACGAATCCCCAATCGGGGAGATAAGAGATTCTGAATGGCGATTTCTGGTGATTTTAGGGTCTCTGCTGCATTAGGCCCTTCTCCTACGAATCCCCTCCGTATCAGTTTACCACCTAAGGTCTAAACTCTAAAACCACTCTCTTGGCTGTATTTCGATTTTGTGTATGTGAATTTAAAGAGACATCTGTTAGGGCTGATAGTTCAGATCCATTGCTATTTATTGTTGATTTTGGTACATTATTGCATGAATTTGGGAAATATTTAATGAAATCGAATCATAAATATGGTTCGGTGTATCTGCGTATCGGTTCGAAATAGGGTTTTTTTTTTTTTTTTTTTTTTTTTTTGCGGATTTGTGAGCATTTGGTCTATCTGGTACCTCTGACATTCACTCTTGTATATACTTAAGATTTTGTTAAACGTTAGGTTTTATATGTAGTGATTTTTACTATTTTCTATGAAACCACAATGAGTTTTTCTTCCCTTGAGCACTTGACCTTTTCTGGAGTGATTTTTGCACTTTCCTGTAGAACACAATGAGTATCCCTTGATGGTAGTCTTGCTAGAGGATCCACCTGGACTGAATCTCTTTGTTCTAACAGACTGAAAGTCAATTTAGTTCAACTCGAGTATACTTTCATGTCTTGATTAGGGTTTAAATAGAAGAAACAACAACCTACTTATATTAATTTGTTTACATGTACTTATACAGCATCCCAATTTCTCTTATTCCTTTTACAATGTTGTAATGTGAAAAATTTACCCAATTATAGCAATGTCATCCAAACACAAAGCAATTTTCGCTATATAATTGATTAGATTCTTCAAAGTCAATTGTTTCAATATGAAAGAAATTGAGAGTAAAAACATTAATACCATTCAATTTGGTCATTATAACTCTTCTATATCTATTGATTATCAAAGATTATTCTAGATAATTCCATCTTGAATACAGATAGATCATGTTAACTTCCTAAACGTGGGACCCACTCTTTCCGAAACTACAATGCCTAAATGGTCAACCTCAATAACCCACACCCACAACACACGCTGCAACTCCAAACGACCTCTCACCTTCATGAACGACTATGAAATGTCCACAAGCTCCTTCAATCAAGATGCAGAAAGCTTCCTTTTAAACGCCATAAACATGGGTTTCTTTGAACGATTAAGTCTAGCATGGAAAATTGTCTTTCCATCTCCATCAATGATCAAGAACTCAAATGCAAGTGTCGCTAAACAAAGGCTGAAAATGATTCTCTTTTCAGACAGATGTGCTGTAAGTGAAGAAGCTAAACAGAAGATTGTTAGTAATATAGTGAAAACCCTTTCGGATTTTGTGGTGATTGAGTCTCAAGATAAAGTCCAGCTCAGCGTGGCAACGGACCCCGCTATGGGGACAATTTACTCGGTGACTGTGCCTGTGAGGCGTGTGAAAGCAGAGTATCAAGAAGAAGATGGTGAGGGGACGATTATGAATGTGGAGTATAAGGATAATGGAGTGGATTCTGGTTCTATGGATGTGAAGTTTGATTTTTATGTTCCTGAGTGAAAGATGTTTGTGAGTTTGATTTGGGTGATTGGGAAAATTGAAATTGAAAATCATGTGGGAAAGATTATTGATTGATTCCCTTGTTTGATGGCTGAAATTTGTTATAATTTATAGCAGATCTTGTAAATATTCATATGCTTTAATTATTTCAGTCTTCTACTTTGCTAGAGCTTTTTATAATTTTTTGTTTGTATAACTTTGGTCATGTTATCATCTCATGATTAGGAGTTGTTTCGTAAGAATGTTTGTGTAATAAACCAAAGTTAGGGCTCAAAACACCATCTAAGCTTTCATAATCACATTTTTTACCATGTAGATGTATAAACTTCAACATATTAGCCATAGAACATAAAAATCTGTATTTCATCATTAATTCGAGATTAGTGAATTTAGGGAGTGATTCACCATTGATGGAAGCTCAAACTTAACAACAAAGCATTCAAATAAAGAGACTACCTTAAAGGATTTGACACTTGAATTTGATGCTTCATAATTTTGAATCGTTCTTCAAACATTGAGCTATCATTTCCTTGTAAGTTGGGAATAGTCCAAATAAATAAGAGAAGGGAGGTATACGACTTAAGACATATAAACATTCCTCATTTACGAATAATCCCATAATTCCCTCATATTTGCAACATAAACCGTAGCTAGAATTTTTACTAACAAACCAAGTCATTTAGTTTCTAGTTTAACCCCAAACTTTAAATATTTGTACAATCAAGGCCCAACACTGGCTAAGGAGGTTAAATCCAAGTTAGAACCTCAATTCTAAATTTCTAATTCTTGAGAAGTCGACTCCTAGCTTCAAACTATTTTAATTATAACTTTTCAATTAAACGTTTTTTTTTAATTAATTATATTACTGAAATTAAATCGAAAATTAATTTATTTTATGAAATCTACACTTAAAAGGTTAAAACTTTTAGCACCATATTGTGGGTGGTACGTGAATCCCACTTTCCTTAATGAAAATTTGTATAAAAATGTGTAAAATGGCATAATCGTAAGATTTTATAATTTTGAGGGTTAAAAACACTTCGGTTGAAAACTTAGGAAATTAGCCTATTGGCTTAAACAAGCATTTGTAGGTGGCACTTAAAATTCAACCACTATAACATGCATATTAACCTTCGATTCTTACCATACCATAACCTGCACAATATCAATTTGCTTTCTCAAGCATTTGACCTCAATTTGATGCACCCATCTAGTCACCAGGGATGTATCACTGTCCAGAAATGCTCTATATTACATAGAGCAAATCAATGCCAAACCTAACCCCAAACCCAACTCTAATCCTAACCCATACCCAACTTGATTTTATGCATTTGAAACATTGCAAGAAAATTTATTCCAATCTCAACCCCGTTTCGATTCCAGTTCCTCAACCTGGTCCGAAGATGAACCTGAGCCTCAAGCCGACCCGAAGAAAAAAGGAAGGTCGACAACCAACCTTGGACCCCGAATGAAGAGAAGGCGTTAGTAGAAGCATGACTTGACATTTTTGAGGATCCGATCGTTGGAGACGACGAAGATGGAAATACTTTATGTAAAAGTGTGAAACAAATTTCTTGGCCGAATGAAGAGAGGCAAATACCACACGAAAGATCAAATATATATGAAATGGAGGAATACAAACAAACTTGCAATGGAGTTCAATGACGTGTTTGTCAACGTGACACACTCTTGGCCAAGCGGTGCTAACGATGTACGAATCCTAGCAAAAGCTCAAAAATATTACCGCAAAGCAAAGAAGAAGGAATTAAAATAATTATATTGAGATTTGGTTAGTTGTGAAGGATAAAGAAATATATCTTCAAATTCAAACATCGAAAGGTGGTTCAAAAAAGAACCAAAATATCTGAAAACTCCCATATCCAATCTTTCGTTGTACATATTGAGTTAGGAATCAACGAAGATGACATTATGAAATTCCAAGACCAAGCAATCCCATGGGTAGATATCAAGCCAAGAGAATGCAAAAGGGTGTTGTTCAAGACATGGTGAGGATATGAGAGTGGGGCTCCATAGGTTAAATGACAATATACAAAAAAAAATGTTGCAAATTGATCAAGAAAAAGAAAAAAAATGCGATTATAAGACGTTTCTAAAATGGCCGAGAATGAATGTTGATTTGTGATGAAGGTGAAGATGAAATTTACGAAAAAATATAATTGGGAAGATTTGTAGGAGTTATGTTTTAAGTCTTTTAAGTCATGAATGCAATGTTTTAAAAATTGATTCGAACCGACCAGACGAACCGATTGGATTGGGAATCAGAGAAGGGAATAACTCAACTAGCATTGGTTTTAAGCCTATTTCTGGACCGTAACAAACCGATCAGTTTTTACAAAAACCCAGTTAAACCAGTAAAATTGAATTGTTAAAACCCGACTGAACCGGTTAAACCGAATAAAAACACATGAAAATAAGACATTTTGCATAATAAACTTTGGTGGCTCATTTCACATCTATTTAGACTTCTCTTATCACTATGTACATCATTTGTTTGACAATCGATTGCAGATTCATTCTTTGCAATTTCGAAAAGTGAATATGAGATAATCATATAACTTTTGACATGATTTCTAATGCTCATATTAGCCCATTTTATAGACCCTTTATAATGAAGCATAATTCTTATGTATTGGATATTTGATAAGTTTTTCTCTATAGCGTGTGATCTTGTTACAAGTTGCTAGCCCATTTGACTAACAATGTGTCTAACAAAGAGTAATTACAAAGAGTTCATGTGTTCTATCTCAAGCATATACTAACCTGCTGTTCCAAAAAAAAATGTTATGAAGATTTTTGATGTATTTGTATTCATTTGAAACTACATTTTGTTTTTGGTGCTATATTTTATGTTTCTTTTTTGATATATTTGGGTTAATGTATATATGTATGCAGTAAAATAATAAAAACATAAAAATTCTGGAAATCACGTTGTTTGACGGTCGAACCAAAAACCAATTATCATATTAGTTCAACAAAAAAACTGACTTTCAAAACATTGCATGCATGTAATGTTGGTAAGGTGGATGACAAAAAAAAATGAGATGACTTGGTTGTCAAAATACCACTCCTTCGGCCTTAAGGGGTGTTTGCCTGTTTTTGGATAGCTTTTCAAAACAACTTATTGATTTATTGACTTTTTCAAAAGTCAATAAATCAAAAAAAAAATGGCAAACTCAAAAACATTTTTCAGAATAGATTTTTCATTAGATTTAAAAAACAGATTTTAAAAAAGCATGTAAAATTTGACATTTTGAAATTGTTTTTTGGTTTTTTAACCAAAATAATTTCAAAAAGAACATTTTAAGCCAAATATTTTTTTAACTTGTTGAATTTTTTAGTCGATCCAAACATTTTTTAGAAACTAATTTTATCACTACTATTGATATAACTCATTAAGCACTAGAAAACACTTACTTTTTAGGGATTATGCTCGTAATAGCCATATTTTGGGTATGGTTTCCAAAATATAGACATAAAAAAACATGTTTCCACAAATAGACATGGACTCCGTAGAGCTACATCCGAGAGCTCCGCGGAATAAACTTATGTTCCAAGAAATCGATGTGGCAAAAATAAAAGCTAAAAAAAAGTTCCTCAAGGCACCCTCTGCTGAATAACAGTTCCTCGGAGCCCCCTCTATAGATTGTTCATTTAGCTCTACGAATTTGTTCTTCCCTAAAGAAGGGATTTTTGGATTTTTGAGTTTTTTTTCAATACACTAAAGAATACGTTACTGGAATTACGAAGGTTCCACAGAGGTGCCTCTGTGGACCTCACTATAACCTTTGTAGATCCGTCAATTTTACATATATACCCCTCCTTAATTTATCATATTGCCATTCCGCAGAGGGTATCCTTGGAGCTTTGGAGTTCAGTTCCGCAGAATCCATGTCTACTTTTTTATCTCTTTAAAAACCATACCCAAAATATATTATGGGCATAATCTCTACTTTTTAGAGTTCAAAAAAAGACCCAAACACCCCTTCGAACAGCGACCGGGCGGGAAACTTCTAATATAGAGAAACTTCAATTTGCATATTTCCGTGCTTCTGTATTTGTAACCATTGTGTACCTTATTAGGGCTCAGTAGCTCCAACTGTTTTCAGTTTAAGAAGATGGACGGAAGTTGTTTACAGTTCGAAGAAAACCCAATTCAAGATGCTATTTCCAGAATTCGCTTCGCCCCAGCATCCAACAATCTCCTTATCTCTTCCTGGGATACTGTAAGATTTCGTCTTTATCGAGAGTTTGTTTGTATGTTTGCGTGCAGCTTTTTATACTATACACTCAAGAACCATCAATTATGGGGTATTATATGTGCAGAATCTTAGATTGTACGATGTGGATCGATCTAGGTTAATTTTTGATGCTTCCGGGGAAGCTGCGCTGCTAGACTGTTGTTTCCAAGGGGAGTCAGCTGCTTTCAGTGCTGCTTCTGATTGTTCCATAACTAGGTCTGTTCTCAGATTTATGATTAATTATAGTGAAGTGGAAAAGACAACTCTCGATATGTGTATTCGAAATCCCGAACTTAATGTGTTCTAGGGTTCTGGTTTAAGGGAAAACGCTCAACGCAACTTAATGCAATTGAATTGATTTTCAGTTACGAATCATCCATTTGTCTGACCTTCAAGGTCAAAGTTCAAGTCTTGTATGGAAAGGAGTGAATACTGTACATCATTTATTTGTATATCTTTGTATTCTCCTCAAAGTTTTTGAGTAAGAACAATAGAACATATAAAAGAACAGTCCCAATACAAATTTAAGATAAAACAGATGAAAGTCTGTGCTGAATCCCATACAAATTTAAGATAAATTTGAACTCCAATAGATGGTTTAAAGCTATAACACTAGTACATTACAATATTACATAATTCAGACATTTTCTTCTTAATTTCTTGGTTTTAAGCATGACCTTTGTAAGAAAAATCATTGCAGGTACGATTTGCATTCAGGAATGAGAGAAAACTTTGGAAATCATGATGATTTAGCAACTTGTGTTGAATATTCTAATGAAACAGGTAAACCATAAACAATTTTTTACTTCCAAAGTTCTAAAATATTATAAAAACTTACAATAAACAACACAAAGTTCCATAGCAAACTTAGAATGTTTTAAGATTTTTAATAATGCTAGTTACAACTTTGTTTTAAAAAGCATGAACACTTTCATTAATAAGTCATCAGTTTCCATAATCTTCACAATCAATGACATTTTTGTCAACCATATTCGCTTGAATACTTTTCCTCTACAAATAAAAGATCATCTTCCTCTTTTAGTGGCTTTTTCTATAGAAAATTGTGCTTTTAACTTTTGTTACATTTTTATATTTCATGTTCCAAAAATTTATCATTTTTTTTGGTTCTACAGGTCAAGTTGTGACTGCAGGGTGGGACAAAAAGATAAAATGTTGGGATTCAAGGTCAACAAAGACTCTTACTGCTGTAAATACTGTTAATACAGGGGTCAAATCTATATCCCTATGTGGATTTGCTTCAATGGTTGCTGTTGGGGATTCAGTAAATATATATGACTTACGCAAATTCAACAAATCATTTAATAGCAAATGTGTAGAAATTCAAATCGAGTGTGTTCGCCCTTATCTAGACCAAGGTATTTAGCTATAAAATCACTATTTACTATTTAGCAATAAATCTATTGTATGACTTTTTTGAAAGTTTTAGGTGAGTTGATTTAATTATATATCTTAAATAATGCAGGATTTGCAGCTGGATCAACTGATGGACGTGTTGCATTGAAGTATTTTAATCCATCTGATCAAAACAACGATGGGCAAGTTTATGCATCTTTCAACTGCCATATTATTTAAAAGATAAAGTTACAACTTTAGTCCCTAGTACAACTAGTTTTTTCACTTTTGTTCCCAAAATGTTCGCTCTTGCAATTTTTGCAACATTTTTTCGTCCATGTTCCATGTAAAATGACTATTTTGTGATTGAAAAAAGGATCAGATATGTAGTTTAATCTTTTTAAAATAACACCCACTTATTCATTTCTAGTACTCTTATTATTAAAGATTTTGAATATTTAACTATATGTTATTTATATCATTCCTGTGTTCTTATTACAGATATGCTTTTCGATGTCATCCAAAGGCAAAGAGAGCAAGGCATAATTTTGCAGCTGTGAATGATATTGCATTTAGCCCATCGTATGTCTTTTAAAAAAAATAAAAATAAATAATTAATGAAAAAAAACTCGTAGAAGTTTAAAGTGATAATCTTTTGTGATTAGGACTTATGGCGATTTTGTCACGGGTGATAATAAAGGTTATGTCACAATATGGAATGCTCAAAGTAAAAAGAGAGTTTATGAGGTAATATTACATAATCCAATGGTTATTAATAAAGGTTATTAATATCTTCTAATGAAATTTTATATAAAAATTGTGGTAGATCTAAAGATGTTAAACTTTTCTTGTTGTAATTTCAGATGCCAAAATTTGAAAATAGTATCGCCTCTTTATCATATAGCCATGGAGGACAATTTCTGGCTGTTGCTTCAAGTTACACTTACAGAGAAGAAAATGAATTGTTAGTATATCTTCTTGTGCCCCCACTTAAATTCTAAATAAATATAAGCAGTTTTTTTTATATGATTCATATATATATATATTAGATATGATTTACTAAAGTTGTGGTTTTTACAAGATTTAGAAATTCAAAGGTAATAAAACCCAAATATGCTGTAATATAATAATATTTTAGTTCTTTTTTAACAAATAATTTAAATTAATGTATGTTTTCCAAAAAGATTTGTGTTATTAAAGCTTACATGAATAACAATAACTTATATTGAAAAATCAAAACAACCCTTGAATAAAGAATTAGAATTAAGAAAATGGAAGGAATCACATTCCTCGATGGCATGGTCCATTCCATTCTATTGTGCAAAGCAAACAAGTTTCTTTTCATTCCAATGGAACTAACCATTCCATTCCTTCCCCAATTCCATCATACCAAACACTACCTTATCACTATTGAAAATAATACTTCCTTTTATTAGAATAAAGCAATTTTGGAGGTTTTAAGCAACTAAATACACTTTAAACCCTTTGACCCATTTTCCCTCTTTCTTTATAGCTAAACTTTAGAAAACTTACCCGTTTGACTCGTTAGAGATAGTAATTTGACCCAACTCTACCCATTTTTGGTAAATGGGTCCAAATGGCCAACTGTATGACTTACATTTTATTTCAAACTTGACCTCTATTTTTATTGTTTGTGTACTAGACTTGACTTGGTTTAAATCTTTATTGTTTTCCCTCTTTGTCAAATAAGTAATTTGTGAATATACTTTTCTTACTTTTATCTGATTTTGGATTTTTTTTTATACAGGGAAATGCCTCCAAGGATATACATACATGAAATGGATGACAAATACATTGCTTCCTTTTCAACCGGAAGTTCAAAATAGGCCATTTTTCCTATTGTGGTGATGTGGTGATTGTCCCCACACATTGTTTTAACCAATCATTGTAAACTAAAATAACTAACAAGTATTTATGTTGTTTGTAATCTTTGTAGTACTTTTTAAAAGTTAGCCTTTTTCTTGTAATTTTATTAACATGGAAAATGAAAAAAAAAAATAAAAGAATGGATTTTTAAAGCAAAAAATTATACTTTTGAAATACCAATTTGTGAAGTGAGATCGAAAAAAAGAGATGAAACATGGATTAATTGTAAAATTCTAGACTTTTTATAAAAGTATTGTTAGCAATTATGAAATATTCAAAATTGTATTTCCAAGGTTTTAAGGTGAAATATTAAAATCCATCCGTTAGAAGATTTCATTTTAATGTAATTTAACTCCATTTACAACATATTGAGAAGGAATGTACTATAGAAATTAAGAAAGAAGATTAAAAAGAGGGAGGGCGTAATATAGCATAGAGTAAAACTGAAGGGCCTTTCGGCAATCTACAAGGAACTACAGGGTTACTACGAATGACAAAAAGTGTGTAATCTAATCCGACGACTACCATTCAATCTGAATAATACTATATAATATCTCTTTGTACGGCTGTTGCTTAAAACCCTAATATACCTTTCTCCCCAAATTTCTTCAATCCTTCACATATACTACTACTCTTCGTCACTTTCTTTGTAGATCTTTTGTCTCATTTTTGAAAGTATGTCTGACGAAGAGCATCAATTCGAGTCTAAAGCTGATGCAGGAGCATCCAAAACTTTCCCTCAGCAAGCCGGTACTATCAGGAAGAACGGTTACATCGTTATCAAGAATCGTGCTTGCAAGGTATCGATCGATTTGTTATTCATGTGTTTGTTCTTTGAATTATAGATCCGATTTACTCCTGTACTCTTCGGAGTTGGTATTATAGATCGTTGTTGTTAATTTACACCGTCGATGTGGTCAATCTGTTCTTATAGCATGGTATCGATACTAGACTTGTTATTGATCCATCGATTTATATGTTAATTTGCTGGATTCGATTGCTTAAAATTACTATTTTCTTACAGATTTTACGTTTTAGGTCATGTTTTAAGTTTTCTTATATTGGATTATGTTTCTGATAAGTCTACTTTTTGCAAATTTGTTCATCTGGTAACTAATCGCATGATCGAATACACATATATCAATGAGTCCCTGTATTAATTGTCATATACTCTGTTATTTTTTACTCTCGGAGAAGATTTTTATGATCGTTACATTGACAAATTAATGTCATTACTAGCTTATATCAGTGTGAACTTCCCATCTTTTAGATCTACACTCTGTTTGAAATTCACCCCTCCAAAAGAAACCATCTTTTAGAAGATGAAACAATTTATATCATTACTTTCTTTTTGCAGGTTGTTGAAGTTTCAACCTCAAAGACTGGCAAGCACGGACACGCCAAGTGTCATTTCGTTGCCATTGATATCTTCAATGGAAAGAAGCTTGAAGATATCGTTCCCTCTTCCCACAATTGTGATGTATGTTTTATGCATTTTACAACATATTTTACATATTTTCTTTGTTTGTAACTTTATATTTATACAGATTATAATATTTTCTTGGGTTTCAGGTTCCACATGTCAACCGTACTGACTACCAGCTCATTGACATTTCTGAAGATGGATTTGTATGTGTCTCTTATCTTAATCATTTCTCCTTTACTTTCTTTGGTTTATATTCAGTCTATAATGTGATGAAATTTATAAAATGGATTTATTATAGGTGAGTCTGTTGACTGAAAATGGTGGCACTAAGGATGATCTCAAGCTTCCAACCGATGATAGTCTGCTTACACAGGTTGGTAATTAGTAATTAAACATGAAAAGTTCACTTGAAATTGTTAAGTATAATCTATATATTTAATAATTTTTGTTTAAAAATTGTGCAGATTAAGGATGGATTTGCTGAAGGAAAGGATCTTGTGGTGACAGTGATGTCTGCCATGGGAGAGGAGCAGATCTGTGCTCTTAAGGATATTGGTCCCAAGTAATTTTACCTTGTGTGGATTGAGAGAGATTTTATATGAAGAACTGCGTTTGCTAGATTTGTGGTGGTGGTTATTTAAGGAAAAAAAACTTTATTAGGTTTCTTTTTTCTATTTTACAAATTTTTGTTTTGTTTTTGGTTATTGTTGATGTGCTAAAAAAGTCTTGAAATTTGGGCTTGGGGAGAGGATGGGCAATATGTACGTACACTTTGTATCTCGATATGTTTGGGATGCGACTTGTGTGAACTTATGGAGTGGTTATTCTGTTTCTCTTTGTTTCATTTCTAGTGCTGTTTTTTCTCTTGTCTTCATTATTTGATTTTTTGTTTTTAGAGTACATGTATATATTGTGCTTTGAAGCCATTCTTTTTGTAATAAAATGAAAAGAAAGAATGGTTTTGAACATTCTTTACTTCAAAAAGAGGCATTAATTGTTTAATTAGATATGTAATCTAATACAACCTATTTAAGATTAGATTCTTGTAATTAATGTTTAAACATTCTGAAACATGTACAAGAAGTCTTTTTACTTCAAAACAAACGAATCCTTTATCAATGATGTGAACTTTTAGCAAAATTATAACCATGTAAAATCGTAATTAAAACAATTATAACCTAAAAATTCCCTCAACCTTCCATCTGAACAAGTCAAATAGCATGAAAACAACAACAAAAATCCATGAATAAACAGTTGCAAAATGCATAATAATAATCATCCCTTGTTTTATGGAACATAACGGATAACTGTTCCAAGCCAATCCTCAGGGATCTCATCTCTCAATTTGCCACTTAAGGCTATCAATGAGTGTTCTGTTGCTGCCTGTAAACCAGAAAGTATTCACTATTCAGCACTGAAGTGATTCAGATGAAAAAAAAGAAAGACGAATTATAAATGGAAACTATTGATTATATATTTATATAATTAATTATATTTACCTTCACAATATACACATCAATACCAAGTTTCGCAATCATTGCAGCTTCTGATATTTTAGTCACCATCCCTCCTGTTGTATCATGGGATGCTACACTAATCTCAACTGTTTCATTTAAAATCGTATTATCAAAATTTTGAATTTTTTTTGTAACATAAAAAGTTACATTCAAATTGTTAATATTTTTCTAACCTTGCTTATCTGTGCCTTCAAATGTTGGTTTCACAACAAACCAGCTTCCATCTTCACGTACAGCTGTCAATTATCATGGACATCATTGCATCAAATCAAATAATCATATAAACATCATTAAAATATATATATATATATATATATATATATATATATATATATATATATATATATATATATATATATATATATATATAGAGAGAGAGAGAGAGAGAGCTAGGTTCATTTGTTTAAATTAAGTATTGTGTTATTGTATCCATAAATATTGGCCAATCATTTCAAATATCTAAATAAGGGTAAATTTGTAATCTTAGCTAATAATTAATTTTGGTAAATTTAAATCAATGAATTTCCCTTTAAATAACAATCGGTTTCATAAAATTAACCCTAAATCTCATTCCAAGCTTACGATTTCTACTAGAAACCCAAACAAGTCGCAAATCCGGTGGTGTTTGTTTTCAAATCGACACCATCCCTGAATCGGCAACCACCTCCCCACCTGTATTTTCATTCTTCCGTCATTACTTTATAAGAAGTTGACGACGACTTTGCTGCCAATGCCGTCTATGATGTTGTATATCTTCATCTTCTTCAACACGGTTCTGTTTTAGCATTATCACAGTTGAAAATTTTCAGGTATGTCATCTTACATTCTAGTCGACAATTTTTTCAATTATACTTGTTAAACTAGGGTTCTTGTAAAGGGAATTGTGATTTAATATGTCAACATCGTTGTTTAGATTTAATTGGTTTTTCCTTATTCACTTTCTAGTGGGATGTGATTGTACTGGTTTAATTTGAATGCTTTTTAAATTATTCAATTGTATACGTACTCATGGATTTGCTCTTTAACGTCAAAATTAGATTTTAATTTAGAATAATATTTGGATTTTTAGACCTTGTTATATCTTGGACTAACATTTGATATGTTTAGGTTTATTGTCTAATTCTTTCAAGGTGTAATATTTTTGGTGAATTGAGAATTTGTTTTGATTGTCTAATTTTTACAGGAAATTGAAAGTTGTTTTGATGCACACCAAGCGCTCGCTAAAATGCTTCAACTTAATGGTATTTCTTCGTTTATAGTATTCTATCATAAAAGAATGTTTTTTATGATAATCATGAACATATTCTGTTAGAATGCCCCGAATTAATATAATTATTGGTAAATGAATTCCAATTCTATCAGAATGGAATCACGAATTCCAATTATGTTGGAATGGAATATGGATATTTTCTCACTAATTTATTCATTGGATTTGTTTCCACAGAAGCTGATGCTTGAAGAACGAACCACAAAATTTGAACGACGCCTCTTAGCAACATTATTTTTTAGAATGTTTTAGTGTCTTTGTTAGATTTTGATGTTTTTTTTCCCGATTTGAAAGTTTTTTAGTTTTATTATTTAACAATAAATGTAATTCTTAGCAATTGTTACATGTATTCTATAAGAATTAATGTAATTTTTGTTTTAATTCTTCAATTGCTGGTTCGAGAATTTGTTATTCTACAAGAAAATTTTTAAAGTCATGATCAAGAAATATGTTCAAGATTATTATTTTATGGTTCTAGAATAATTTTTATTTTTGAACATACTCAAACATATTCTGTCAGAATGTCCGAATTAAAAACCTTATAATTCGTAAAATCGGATTTTTAAAATTAATAAAATCGGGTTTAATTATAAAAATTAAGTTATAATTAAAATTAAAGTAATTAAAAAAATTAGAATTTTAAAATCAAGAGAGTTAATTATACCAAAAAATATGGAATTTTCCTTTTTTAAATTTATCTCAATTGTCTAAAATACCCTTAGAATGAAATTAAATGGTATTTTTCAATTATCTTTAATTTAATAATATGTATTAATCATTTTCTTAAAATAAGTAAAATGATTGGCCCATATTTATGCATACAATAACACAATAATTACTTTGAATAGAATAACCTAAGCCTATATATATATATATATATATATATATATATATATATATATATATATATATATATATATATATATAAAGGGTGCTTACCAATCTCCCTGAGAAGTACAGCATTAGGTTCTGAAGGAGGGCGATCATATACACCAAAAACATCGGTCTTCATTGCTCATTGTATAGGAAACATTTGCATATAATATCATGCTAAAGAAACAAGCATACATCATGGAACACTAAATAAATGTAGAATCTTTGTAATGTTTTTTTTTTTTTTAATTATCTGTAAGTATGTGGTGGAAAAGGATACAAGGAAAACAACGAATTGAGGCTTTAAATGTGATGCCAGATGACTTATAATTACATCTCCACTTAATATAGTGCAACCCTGAAACAATAAGAAATGACATGTTGATATTAGATGCTAATCATCAATGGAACACAATTACAATTTACAATCACACCTCTATTGTTAGATGTTACATACCAGTGACTCATCGAGTACTGCATCCCCATGCAAAACCTAGATGGAAATATCAATGTTAAAAATGCATAACAATATCATATATTTTTCAAGGTCGTATTGTGATTTGTGAATGAATAATCTGAATGACAGTAAATGACAATTTTACCCTTTTGTCTGGTTAGAAAGGACTAGCGCTACGAAATCATATGGAAAAAGGTACATTTTTTTATATTGGATGCAAGAATGTTGAGAAAACGAAAACTTACTGGAACAAAACCGCAATCAAGGGCATTAACCACGGTTGACACATCAGCAGATGCTATCTGTAAAAACAAAAGATTTTCATTGTTGTTGTGTAAAAGGTGTATAGATTTTTAACGAGTTGATGGAAGACAGTTTTTGAGTGCTTCCTGACATTTCTGTCATGGGTTGACCATCCACACGAAAATGGAGACAACGCAACTGATGGAATACCCTCTGCAAAAAAGAGTTAAAAACAAAAGTCAACATGCAATTGGATATCCAGAAGTCAAAATTAAAATGAGTGGAAACTTTAGTTTGGTAATGAAAACTCTACCTCTTGCAAGTGCTCTAACTATTTCAAGATTAAGGGATGTCACCTAGTAAAATGAGGAACAGTTAGACATAAATTTAGTAGTAAATGAATATCATAAGATATACTAAAAAGACTATAAAAGTGAAGTTTATACAAAAGTAGATAATACAAAGCTTTAGATACAACTAGAGAGAAAAAAAAAACAGAATGAGGGTATAGCCATGAACAACAATAATAAGCTAGTGGTAAAGAAATAGAGCTTACAGAAATCCTAGTAGCAACAAAGCCAGCTTTCACAAGAGGTTTATTCAACCCCCCTTTATGAACACCGGATTTGCTAGCTTGAAAGTGACCAAAAGAACCTGAAAAACAAAGTGGCACATAAAATGGATAGAAAAAGGAAACTTGATAGTTAATGAAACAAATCATTGGAAATTAATTGCAGTGAAAACTTTTTATCATAGAGAATGAATAAGTAAGCAAGATTCTTTACTCACCAGCTCCATGAATAACAACGAAACTGTTGTAGCCAAATGCTTCTTGTTCTTTAAAAGCGTCCACTGTAACTGAAGTTTCTGAAATTCCAGGGCGTTTGCTCCAATCCATTTCAAGAACTGGCCCAGATGAAGATCCAGACATCATTGCCTCACGCAACTGTGAAGAAACCTCAACAAGATTGCTTTCATTTATCTTTTCAAAGTCATTCTTGCATGTGATTGCCGCACCTCCTAATACGCAGAAACCCAAATCAGTAGTGAACGTAGACAAATTGAGACTAATCATGATTTTAAAGAAGAACAGAGAGTAGTTTAGGAATCCCATTTCCCCTAGTTCATAAACATAGAATAAAAAATATAATGACGATAATAACACAAAAGAATGTTTGAACAGTAGGATCAGTAGAGGTGGTACCACTACATATTAGATCAATTGCAAAGAAAGTTCATCAGATTCGGCAAGGAAATAATGGAAATCAAGTGGAAATTGACGAAATTTGAAGATTTAGGGTAAAATAAACGATGCCTGACCGAGTTTGACGATGCAACGAACTGGAGTTTTCAATTTAATATCAGTTTGCTTCGTCTCCATTCTCCTGCTAACTGTTTGCTGTTGCTGACTTGCTTTAGCTCTGTATTCCTCGTTTCAGTGAAGTTCAACGAGTTTTGGTACTTTGTAGTTTAGTTTTGGGATGATGACATAAAACCCCCTTATCTTTCGCTTAATTACATTTTTATTTGAAATGAAATTGTTGATGTTTATTAATAAGATGTTGCCAAAGTTAAAACACGCACGGATAGAGGTGAGATGTTTTTGATCCTAGCATGATGTAAATGCCATCATCCAAATTCAATTCTTCGTATTTAATTTAATTTTTGAATGTAGGTATAATAATAGAGATATTGGAGAGAGAAGACGACTTTTCAAGAGAACATTTGAGACATGTACATTGTTATTTTCGGATAATAACTTAAAAGGGTAATATATTTTTTAATTTTTACATATTTGGTCATTGAGTTTTTTTTTGTCTACATTTACCCCTTCAACTTTTTAAACTGTACACATTCAGTCCTTATGACCGGTTACTCCAGGTTGGCCGGGAAAAATGACTTAATAAGGTAATATATTTATCATTTTTTACACATTTAGTCATTAATATTTTTGTACACATTTAGTCCTTAATATTTTTTGTTTCAAAATAAGTCATTTTTGTTTTTGTACTAATTCAGTACTTATGAATGATTTCTTTAGGTTTTCTCTTGACATCTTACGTCGGACAATCATTGATGAAGCGTGTGGGGCTGTTGATGTTTATGTAACGTCGCATTTTCACAACCAAAAATTTTCATTTTTAAATAAGGCAAAAGTCCCTAATTATAAATCCATGGAAAAAAACGTTTATTCCAAAATACATTTATCAAAAATCAGAGTAATATAAGAAATGCGGAATCCTCAATACTGTTGATGAGTGTGTACAATCATGCCTTCGCCTTCCCACGATCAACGATAGAACCTAAAAACATAAAAAACTGGGTAAGTACAAAGTTTAGTGAATTTTCCCCAAAATACTCGATACAACAAAAGTATTATCATGCATAACGAGCCCACACTCATCAGACTGAGATACCTTGGCCCAATCAGTTATCAGACTGGAATGCCAACATGCAACATGTCCAATCAGTCATCAGACTGGAATACCCAGGGTTTGTCGGCATGTTGCCTTAACCCAACCGCTCTTCTCGTGTCTCCGTGCCTACACCTTACAGCCGGCCCGCACCAGGTATCTTGGCCTACAACATATAGCATGACCACCTCAACCTATCCCACCACTATATGGTTATCCCACGTAAGATGTCGTGAGAAAAACCTAAAAAAATAACTTATTTTGCAACAAAAAAATATTAAGGACTAAATGTGTAAAAAAATATTAAGGACTAAATGTGTACAAAGTGAGAAATATATTACCCTATTAAGTCATTTTTACCGGCTACCTGGAGTAGCCGGTCATAAGGACTAAATGTGTACAGTTTAACAAGTTGAAGGGGTAATGTGGACGAAAATAAAAGTCAGTGACTAAATGTGTACAAATCAAAAAATACATTACCTTTTTAAGTCATTATCCCTTGTTATTTCTGGCAAATTAATCCCTAGTTGAGATAAGCGATGACAAATGCTACTTATTAAAATTGCCAATTCTTGGGGGACCATTGGTAGTTAAATAGGGTTATAAACTCGGATTTTAGGGTTAGCCCCACTTAAACGCCCATATCTTTCACAATTGTCCCTCAAAGTATCACAAAATGACTCTTATACCCATGTACATGTTTAAGAATCATTTTATTATACTTTGACACTCATATTTCAACTCTAAACCAAGAAAATGTTAGTTTAATAATAAAACTTAACAGAACACTAACCTCGATGACGAAAAGAAATTTCTTACACTACATATCAAATGTATGGACCCTAATAAAATCCTAACCATTCTATTTCTTGTTCATAAGCTGGTTTCCAAATTCCAAGTTCTAGTCTTGTTAATTCTTGTTCTTGTTCCAGTGGTCCCAAGTTTTAGTTATGTTCTTATTACTTGTTTTGATTCCTCCTTTTATTAATCTTTCTTCGCTTGTGATTCAAAACTATCAAAAACAAAGTGCACATGATTAATACTCCAACTTGAAGGGGAGTGTTAGATATATGTATATGTAGAATATTGTTTTATTGGTTTTGATGGTCCCTTATTATCTAATTTCCTAGTTATGTAATACTTTGTATATAACTAGGCATACTAGCAATATACAAGGAAACGTTTCTATATTTCCTATTTATCTACTCCTAGACTGCAATTTAGTTACCAAAATGTTGGAAAATAATAGAGTAAGAAAGTTTTTGTGGTGCTGTAAACGATATTTTATATTGATAGGTCAAGAGACTTTTTATAGGGTCTACAAAAGGAACGATATTATTAGGGACATTTTTATGTATGATTTATCACGTTTTTACATCCTTTTTTATTGCATTTAACGCATTTGTTCCATGCATATCATATCATTTTGTAATGTACATGCTTTAGTGGAATAATACATTTACTTTGGGATATTTTTTGTTGCTTTTTTTAGGTATGGAGCGATTTCAGGGAATAAATCGAGGGACCTTGAGACAATTTTGGATGCTAAAAGAAGCTCCGGACATGATTTAGGACATTAGGGGGCATATCATATAATTTCTAAAATGAACTCCCCCATTTTTTTTTAAAATTTCATTTAACACATAGTAATTGAACATTTTTGGTGTAATGTATTAATTCATAACCTGATGACACGAACCATGCTTCCATTCATATGAATCCTTGTGTGTTTAAGTTGGTTCACTTTTAATCATTATTTAATTATTTTATTTTGTTGGTTAATTAACACCGGTTCACAAAATAAATATGCCCTTAAAGTAGAGTAACAAAAAGACCTACCTAATCTTTCTTATCTAGTAATCTTCGAATCATTTAATTCTCAACATCTTCTACTTTATTGTCTAGTTCACGTTCCATCTTCACAATTTTATTTGTCAACCTCTCCATCCTCCCCACCAATTTATTTGTCAAATTAAGTCTCCATCCTCTCCACAACCCCTACTTCCATCTTCAGTTTATTTGTCAGCCTCTCATCTTGTTCCACAACGCTCCCTAATTCGATCTCCACAATTCTTTTCTCCAAGCTATTCATTCTCTCCATCATTTTATCCTCCAACCTATCCATCCTCTCATGAAAAACCCTTTCCATCCTGTTTACAATCCTATCTTCCAATGTCACTGTCTCCCTCTGCACCACTTCCATCCTATCCAAGGCATCTCTCTTTACCTTGTTCTTTCCCTTTTCTAACCTCTCCAAAATATCCCTCTCTACCCTGTCATTCTTCCCTCTCTTCTGTCTTCATCATTGTCATCAGAATCAACTGTCAGATTATATCCATAAGTAATGCCCTGATCACCAAGTGTTAGGCTATTGTACATGGTTCGTGGCAGCAACATATCCAAAACGTCTACCTGATATGAAAAGAAAAAAAGAATCACTACCCCTTGAGAGGACTATCATCCATATTTATAAAGTTACTAGGTGTGAGACCCGTGTATTACACGGGTTGATTTAAAAAAAGATTAAACATTAAAGTGTAAACAGAAAATATTTTTTAATGTACAACTTTAAAATAAGAAAGGAAGAAATGTATTTATTGCAATTTAATATCATATATATATGATATTTAATACTTTACATATATAAGTATATGACTTTAATTTTAAAAATTGAAACAAACAAAAAAATGACAAGTGGATAATATTTATTTCAAAAATACCACAAAATGACATGTGTCACAACTCATGAGAGATTAACATGTGTCAAAAAAACCTTCATTTATTAAGGAGGATTCACTTTTATGATATGTTTTGGGATATAAAGGCCATATATGACATAGAGACCCAAAATTCCCTTATGATCCCACCGTGGCATGGTTAGAAACAATCACATTTGAAAAAAAAAAAAACAAAACTACATAATACTTTTGTTCCAAAAGTACACATATTTAAAAATAGTTTATTCTTATAAAATTTTACACGCATTTTAGTAAGTTTGTACGTAGAAATATAGCCACATATACAAATTTATCATTAATTATATATGGCGTGTTATATTCTAATAAAAATCAAAACAGAAAGGATAAAAAAGTAGAGAACTGAAACATCAGCCGACTCGGTTTCAGCTTCGTTTGGTCCGATACCGAATTATTTAAAGAAAAAAGAAACCATTTTCCAATATTTAGGTAAAGTTTTCCAAAGAAACAACCCCACTAATTTCAAATGAGTCTGGCTCGATTACATCCCTAAGTTTAGTGCCCAACTTTCATATATATGTGTATATCATTTCCACCGACTTTGATAAAAATTTAATAGCTGCTTAATTTAAAAATTATAGTGAAGTACATTATAAGTTTGATTAAAGAAACAATAAGGATTACCTTATAACCCTCCGAAAGTTGTTTTTGCACAAGGCTGATCATTGTAAAACAAGAAAGTTCCCATATTGGAAAATATTCGGGCAATGGACCTGTAACATCAAGTCTTTGTTTAAATTTAAAATCAATCCTCCCACGGTTTTTCATGTCTGCACAAACCTGAAGAAAAGATTGTGATTCAATCTTATCATTGTTTCGATGATAGAAAAACAAAATGGTGTCATGGTTGCGCTAAGAGTGATTAACCAGTACCTTTGCATCTGTAGCACATATGTTCACAACGCTTTCCTTCTTCCAAATGCTACAACATTTTTCATGATTGTTACCATGTTTCCCTCTAACAGTATAGCGTCCCATGAAATTTGTCAAATCATGAATATCAAACTTTCCATCCCAAATAATTATGATAACCTTTTGTGTCCACATATTTATGCTTCTAACACGGTGAAAAATCCAAACTGCAACCAACACCATTGCCCTTTCATCTCTAACGAGCAACCTTTTCTCAATGGGCTTAAGTCCATGCATGCGAAAAAGCTGAAGAACCTCATCTATTAAAACAATTTTGTGTATCACATCTACTCTGTGTTCAATAAAAGAATGTTCATCTCTAGATGTGATTATTCGGCTTCCTTCACCGAACCAATCTTGTGATCCAGCTAACAGATTTAGTTGGTCAAGATGATTGACATCATCAAGAACGATTAAGACGGTTCTGTATCTGTAGCATGACCTACCCATTATCACGCATATTCCTTCCTCAACTCTCCCTACATGGACTTGCTTTTCTTTCAAAACACTAGAAAGAACTTTTTTTTGCAAATTAACCAAACCATACTTACTTGATTCCTTCCGCAAATTTTCTACAAAGCAGAAATCATCAAACTTGCTAGAGATTATATCATAAACAGAGGATGCAAGAGTGGTCTTACCACCACCCCCAACCCCCAATATTCCAATCATGACCACACCAACTAACCCAATTTTTAGGCATGATATAAATTTGTGCATGTGAGCGGCTATTCCAATCAGGTTCTTATCAGCACTTGAGGTTACTGGATGCAACCTATGTGAAATTGTGTCAACAATTTCTTTGATGCACCTTGACTCATGCCTGCACATGTTGAATGTTCAAGGATGGTTAACACATGATAACATGGATAAATTAAGGAGGTCCATGTTCCTTGAAATAAAGGAAGTGTGCTAATTACCCCTTAGATTTTAGAGTAAATTACATGAATGGTCCCTATGGTTTAAGGTAATTTGCGCGTTTGGTCCCTAACTTATTTGTTTAACTCAGAAGGTCCCTACTGTTTGTTTTTGTTATGCGCTTGGTCCCTGTCTTACCTAAAAAGACTATTTTGCCCTTAATTTTTTAATTTAATTAAATAAACACACCCCCAATCGGGTCTTAATGGACTTCCAAATTGGACACCGGGCTGGTTTAAATGGACAACGGGTGGTAAATATGAACTTTACCATGAGTTAGGCATAAAAAGTGCAGAAAAGAAGATAATTACCCATTGGCAATGTGCTTGATTTCCCATCCAGAAATGTTACTTGCTTCCATGAGTGCTTTTCTCCAAGATTCAACTTTCTTCTTGTTCTCCAACTCATGTTTGAGCGATGCTTCTTTACATTTCCGTTTTTGTTTTCGCAGTGCAGAGGGAACCACGTCATAAAAGATGGGGATAACGGTTTGCCCTCTCATATCCTTGCATTCCATAATGTGTGCAAGTTCATCCAAGCACCATGACGAATTTGCATAGTTTTTAGAGAATATAATGATGGTAATCCGTGATTCTCTGATAGCCTCCTTAAGGGATGGGCCGATCGATTCTCCCCGAGGAAGTGTCACATCATCCTTGTAAGTATTGATCCCTTGTTGATCAAGAGCTGAGTAGAGATGATCTACAAAAGTCTTACGAGTATCTTCTCCTCTAAAGCTAAGAAAAACATCGTGCTTCCACGATTGAGAATAAAAGGCGGGAGTAGAAGGAGAAGAGGAAGGTGAATATGAAATTGACATGTTGATTTGTTGAGATAAAATGGACGTGGTTTCAGCACATCAATGAAATGAAATGACGTAAATATAAAGAGATGTGAATATGGCATTGACATGTTGATTTGTTGAGATAAAATGTATGTGGTTTCAGCACATCAATGAGATGAAATGAAGTAAATATAGATGTGAATATGAGACTGGCATGTTGACTTGTTGAGATACAATGTATGTGGTTTCGGCACATCTATGAAATGAAATGAAGTAAATATAAAGAGACGTGACTTTCCAGGAAATTTCAAAACAAAAGTTCAAGAATTTTCTTAGCACTTGACATTTTCAATAAAGCATCATAATGTGACTTGTTTTTTCCATTGATGTCATAAATTATTTCTTTTAAAGAAAATATGGAAGAAATTTGTGAATGGGGCATTTTCAATAAAAATAAAGAAAGATTTTTGTTTAAATTCTAATTTAACTTTTTGTGTAATTTGATAATGTTTTATATTAGTTTGCCACAACATTGAAAGAGAGTAAACTATATTTAAGGTCGCTATCCACAGTTTATTTTTTTTGGTTTATGGGTCCGAGATAGAATCTTTTTCTCTTTGTTCCTAATTCTCTATCATTTAGCACTGTTTTCACACTGAATGATTGGTGAAATTTCCTAAATATGTCCACCGGATGTTAAAACAATTTAAAAAAATTAAAGCTTACTTTTATTAATTCTTGAAGCACACTGATGTAACGAGATGTGGAATTACACCCTTGTAGATTCTGTAATGGAAAAGGGAGCCCATTACCATGGATCCAAATTTAAATGTATCCTTTAACAAAAAGGTGAATATCAGCAAATTACAACCAGATGTATATCGAACAAATATAAAACTGGTGGACCAATATCATGTCAATTTCAGCAACCACTATCTTGGGTTCATCTACTTGAACAAGTCAAATAGCATCATATACAGTAACAAAAAGACTTCACAACACAGTCGTGAAGGAATGAAATTGTTAAATGCATAAAGATGATATAACTGAGACCCCAAATTCTATTTAATATATTCACAAGTAAGGAACCGACTTACAATTGTATATCCAAACAAAATCATCATATAGAAGTAAAAGAATAATATAAGTGGTAAGCTTAGTTCCGTAACTAAAGCTCTACCTCTTGTGCACGTGCTCTAACTATTTCAAGATTGAGGGAAGTCGCCTAATAAAATGAGAAACAGTAGAGACATAAATTTATTAGTAAATGAAGATGAAGATCATAAGATAGAATATAAAGGCCATGAAATTGAAGTTTGAATGGATGATATAAAGCTTCAGATACTGAGATACACAACAGGACCTTATCCACACTTAACCAATTTCAGAACAGTAGGATTGATTGAGGTGATACCATTACATCTTAAGATCAACAGAAGAAAGTTAACCAAACTCTTGAAGTAAATAAAGGAGATCAAGTCGAATTAAGAAATTTGTATGTCTATCTAGGGAAAATGACATATTAGCCCTACTAAGTATTGTACATTTGTCTATTTAGTCCCTTAAAGTTATTTCCGTGTTTTATGAGGAAACAAACTTGTTATTGTGATACTCGACCTCTGTAACGAGTTAATAGCGACATGTAATTAAATGAAATGGCACATAATAATTTTATTTTATTAAATGAGGGCCACGTTGATTAGGCATCTCGTAGAAAAACATCTTTGACTTCTTTCATGCATTTCATCGAACAGTTTCTGTGCACAGTTCATCCTTAACTTCTTCTTAGCCAGCAAGAGTTAATTAGTTGAAGAGAACTCATTGGTACCTTCTGTAAACTTTCAGTTTCATGTTGAGGCAACCGATACTCATTCATGATCCAACTTGTTCGAATGCCATTTGGAGTTTTCCAGAATAAACGACCTCACTTTTGGATGCAAAGCCATCAGTAGTGGAAGGAAACAACGCAGATCCCTGTAAATGGAAGCTTATCTATCGTGGTGGTGTTCAACAATAAAGAGGAAGGAGGAAGACGATGGCGGAGTCGTCGAGGTTGAAGGAAGGAGGTCGCTGGTGCTTGTGGCTGTTGATGGGGGGAGATCGCCGGAGGCAAGGAGGAGGATGGCGTCTAGGTTGAATGCGGCGACGATATGGACTGGAGAAGCGGAGCAAGGAAAAGAACCAAGAGTCGTAAATGTTTGCATGAAAAAAAAAACTGTTTCGAAGATTATATAAATAAGGGTATTCACAAAACGCAAAATATGGTATATGTCTTTGCTAAACATCTAAATATCGTATTTGCTCGATCTTAATTTTAAATATAGTATTTGCCATTCTTAATGGTTTTCAATATCATATATATAACAGAATCTGTTTTTCTGGTAATTTTTATTGATTTATTATTATTTTTCATAATTTTAAATCATTATAATTAAAAAAAATTGTAAATGGACAATAATGCCCTTGAATATTAAAGCCATTCTCACGTGACTAAATTACCCCTTGAAAATCAACTACACAGGTTCACCATTCACCAAATTCGTGCAGGCTTCAGATAAAATTCAAAATAAAATATTATCCAACTCTTTCTCCATTGATTCTTTTGTTGTAACATTAAAGTTCTTAACTTAGTATCTTTGGGAATTTGGGGAAGACTTTATGATAAAATACATAGACTCCATTCACTTGAAGTTTTGGATATGAGCTCAAATTTTTATGTTTGGTTCTGTCCCAAATAAGATTTCAAGATTACAAAAGCTTCATACTGTAATATTATATGGAAATTTCTTCAATGAATCTATCCCTGACTGGTTCGATTCCTTATCAAATCTTACCATTTTGAGCTTAAGGAACAACAAATTAACGAGTCATTTTCCTTCTTCAATTACCAAGATCACAAAAATTACATATTTGTCTCTTTCACACAATCAATTTTCTGTAAATTACCTGATTTGAGTACATCTAATCTATGTTTACTAGATTTGAGGGAAAATCATCTAGATTATGAACTTCCATTGTTGCCTAAAGGAGTGATTACAGTTCTTTTAAACAATAACTCGTTTTCGGGTGACATTCCTGAAGAATTTGGAAAACTTAACCACCTTCATCATCTCGACTTGTCGTGCAACTCATTGATAAAGACCCATCTGTTGTATTCGTTTTGCCAAACATCACCTATCTCAATCTAGCATCCAATATGCTAAGTGAGTCTCTTCCGAATTCAATCAAATGTGGAAACAAACTATGGTTTGTTGATATTTCTAGCAATAGGTTTATAGGTAAACTTCCTTCTTGTTTGTACACACTATCTAGTAATAAGCGAGTTTTGAATTTCACTGGGAATTGCTTGTTTGTGGGAAACGGAAATCTGGAATCTGATTGCAAAAGGAGCACGAAAAATAAACCATTTGGGGTAAACTTTTATGGATTCTAATTGTTGTCATTTGTTTGGTGATCTGCTTGGTATCATTCACGATTTTCCTCATAATTTTTCGCAAAAGACATCGTTCAAAAGAGAGAGTCACGTTACAGCACACGATATCAAAAGAAACCGAAGACATCACGCCAACAAGGATCATATCCGAAGCATCAGAAGTAGGGACACAAGTCACTCCATCATGTCGAGTCTTTTCCATCGAAGAATTAGCAAAGGATACAAAAAACTTTGATCAATCGGCATTTTTGGGTGAAGGGTCTATCGGAAAGGTACTTTTTTTTAAGCTTTGTCTCATTTCATGTATATCCATCAACTAATGATTAAATCGACTCTTTTGCAGCTTTACAATGGAAGATTAGAAAATGGAGGCTATGTTGCTATACGATTGCTCTCATTATTCAAAAGATCTTCAATTCGGAACCTGAAAGTCCGATTGGATTTGCTTACAAAGCATGGCCACCCACATTTAGTTAGCTTCATGGGTTATTGGATTCACAATAGTGGAGTAGAAGATTCGAATTCTAGCAGAATCTTTCTAGTATACAAGTACATTTCTAATGGAAACTTCCCAACTTTTCTCTCAGGTAAAGTCACTAATTCTCAATCATCATGATTCATGAGTTTGTTTCAAATAACTTAATTTAATCCTGCAGACAATGGTCTAGAAAAAGTTTTAAAATGGTCAGATAGGTTAGCAGTTCTTGTAGGTGTTGCAAAAGCTATACACTTTCTGAATGCAAGAGTGATCCCTGCGTAGTTTTAAAATGGTCAGATAGGTTAGCAGTTCTTGTAGGGTAAACTTTTATGGATTCTAACATATTGCTTGATGATTATCAGATTGCAAAGCAACGATCGGAAGTAACGTGAAATAGGGAAGCAACGATCGTAATTATCTGAAGCCTACACGAATTTGGTGAATGGTGAGCCTGCGTAGTTGATTTTCAAGGGGTAATTTAGTCACGTGAGAACGTTTTTAATATTCAAGAGAATTATTGTCCATTTACAATGTTTTTTTAATTATAATGATTTAACATTATGAAAAAAAAACTTTAAATCAATAAAAATTACCAAAAAATAGATTTGGGTATATACGATATTAAAAAATATTAAGAAGGGAAAATACGATATTTGGAGTTTAAGCCGGACAAATACGATATTTAGATGTTTAGCAAGGGCATATATGAAATTCTGCCTTTACAAAAGGAGAGTACTTATCACCAATAAACATTCTCTCATGTTTCTCAAAATGACTGCCTTAGGGATTGTAATGAACCTTGTAAATCATTATGATTTAGAGCTACATCAAATAGACATAAAACAACTTTTCTTAATGGGGATTCACACATTGTTCTTGACCCTTAAAAATAAAACTTTTCAGTTGGACCATGTAAACGGTCAAGAACATCCAATGTGTAAATGAAAGAAATCAATGTATGGGTTGAAACAAGTTTGGCATTAATGGTGTCTAAAGTTCGATGAAGTTAAGAAAAGGAACTAATTTATTAGGATCTAATTAGATCAATGTAAATAACTCAAGATGAGTGGAAGGAACCTTATCATACTCATATAATTCTCTTCACGAGTAATAACATTGATATACTGCATGAATCGAAACACTTACTATCATATTTAATGTGAAAGATCTCATTATAACTGTAACGTCGAACCTTTTAATTTGATGAGTCAAATACACACTGACCATAACTCTAGCGCCAGTGCCAACGTTAACTTATGTACCTCACCAGCATCAGCGTATGATCACTAGTATTAGTGCATTTACCTTTTTGTTTGGGAGGTTTTGATGATCCTTGAGACAAATACGGGTAGGCGTGGAAGGTAGTATGAGCCCATAGTATTAAAAACACATGACCCGTACGCGTAGCAAGGAAGTCACAAACCCCGAGGAATCGAGTCTAGTCACGTGTTTGTAGCAATGTGTAATGTGGGATTCTGATATATTCTGGTTTATTTTCAGTATGGTATTTATGAGAGGATCAGGTTCCAGGTCTAGAGCGAGTGGCCAGGATAGGCTAGGGTTGAATGATGATCAAATTCAGGAGATCATCGCCACTGAGGTGGCTGCTGCTGTTCAGAGGTCTTTGTCAGAAATGTTTGGGTCTATCAAGACTGCCATGATTAAGATTTTTGATGATCGATACGTTGTTCTTTCGGATGCTGCTGTTGCTGCAGCCACCGCGACGGTTTCTGCGGAAAGCATTCGAGGGGAAAGATCTTTCCAGTACCGGGACTTCGACAATACGAAGCTCCTGGAGTTTGATGGGGTTGGGGACCCAATTGTAGCGATGAGATGGCTATCTGATGTGGAAGGTTGTTTCTTCACATGCTCTTGCCCTGCTGAACAGAAGGTCAAGTGCGTCCTGAACCTTCTTAGGTTGGGGGCGAAGGATTGGTGACTAGTGATTACATTTTTGAGCAGAGAGCTATTGTTACCTTGGAGCTGTTCTCGGAGATGTTCCGTGCGAGGTATGTTCCTTGGTGGAGAGGGAGAGGTTGGCTCAGGAGTATTTGGATTTGAGGCAGACTACTGAGACGGTGACAGAGATCGCCAACATGTTTACGGAGAGGGCTCTCTTATGCCCTTTGAGTATGCTCAAGACGGATACTCGACAGTTTGTGTATACCCAACGATACAGTACCCTTGCTAAGCTTCAGGATGCCACAAGGAGGTGAGAGATTGAGATAGAGACCCAGGCAAGGGAGCAGCGTCAGGCTCTGGTTCAGTCCCAACCTGCAGCAAAGCGGTTCAAGTCCGCTGGCCGGAGTTCGGGATCAGTTGAAGGGAGGTGCATATATTTTGTATGTCACAGGTGTGGCGAGGAGGGCCATTTTGGTAGAGATTGCAAGCGAAGTGTGCGAGTTTGTTTCCATTACGTCCAGGAATGTCACATCATAGCTCGTTGTCATTTTCTCATTTTCAGTGAGGTGTTGGATCCCTCACCCCTAGCTTGGCAGTTACCCGACGGTCGTCATGGGGCGTCGGATTCCCGAAGACCGAGTTTTGAGTTAGCAGTTCTTATATTCAGCAATTGTTGTGGTATTGGTATTTATTTGTAATTCCTGTTTATGTTGGAAGTTCGGTTGTAACCTTGGATGATCAATTGAATGAAATTGCCTTGTTCATTATATTTTAATTGAATTATTATTATGAATGGATTAATTATCTTGTCCTCGATTGTATGCGTGATGGAATTTGTGAATGTTGTGTGGGTTTAGATTTTCCTGTGTATGTGGATATTAGTGGTTAGGATCAAGTGCTAGGTAACCAAAGGACTGTAAAGTTGTCTAATTCCAGTATATTTCAAGTAGGGAAGAGTGGAACCTCATAGCAGGAAGACCTTATGCCAAGGTTCAGTTCTCAGTAAAATTTCTCCAAGTTCGAGACTTCCGTGCATCTGCTGAATCTTTTGGTTTCGCGTCAAGATCATCATCAGCTGTTGGATTTCCCTTCAAGTTGTATTAGTTTTTAATTGTGGCATGATATGTGGAGCGTTTTAGTGATTTAGACTCTAGGGTGTTACGAGCCAAGGTTAAGGGATGTGATGAGGGCTTCCTTGTCTGTTCTTGTTTGATTGGGGATTGGAGGTCTGAGTCACGGCCCGAAGACCTGGTAGGATCAGTTAAATTTGGTTGGCCTGAGTGTTGTTGTTGGTTAGTGGATCGGGGGTAGGCCCGAGTGTAATTGTTGGTTAGTGGATTAAAGGTAAGCCCGAGTGTCGTTGTCGGTTAGTGGATTAAGGTTAAGCCTGAGTGTTGTCAGTAGATAGCTAAGCAGGGTTGTCAGAGCCAAGTAGGAGCATGGCCTAGTTTGGTATGTGACCAGTTGGTTCTCGTCGCGATGGTGCACTTATGTGTAGGATTAGCATGACAACATTTGGCCGAAGAGGCTTTGAGCCAATCAAATCTGCAGGTTTTTGGTTAGTTTGGTTGATGTGAGGGGTTGCATCACGAAGTGGAAGCGAGAGCTGATTTCGAGGATGAAATCTAATTCAAGTGGGGGAGAATTATAACATCTTGTTTCCCGTCATTTCTTATTTTAGGTTCGTGGTCCGGAAGTTGATTGTGTAAAAGATTTGGGCCATAAGGAGTTAAATAGTAGACCTTGTGGAAGGAGGTAATGATGGTTGAGAGATCTAACCCTTGGATTGTGTTTTGGGCCGAAGGGTAAAAAGGGACAAGTCATAGGCCGGGTTCTTGCATGAAATATGGATTTTTGTTAGAGAATCTTTTAGCCCAAGATATTTAAATAATATTGTATAGCTCTTCAACACCTTTCCTTGGATAAAAAGAACGTTGAAAACGGAGTTAGAACGAAGAAGTTACGACCGTTTGAAGTTATGGCGATTTTTGGGTTAGCCACGTATGCTAGGCGTACTGGCTCAAGGGCTTGTACGTCCAACATACTCTTCCAGTTTAGCCACCTTCTCATTTCAGCTCTTAACCCATTAAGACTTCACTCTAGAATATAGATCTCACTTCCTTAAGCTGGATTACCACGTAAAGTTGCTAACTTTATGTCCATATTTGGCTAAATGAAACTCTTAAGCTCAAAAAGGACTTAATAAGTGACTTAATGTATGCATGAGGCCCTACACTTCATAAAGTTGGCACCTTTATGCTTAAGGAGCCCATGATAAACCTAGAACTGAAAGGATAAGTCCTTAAGACGTCTTAATACAACAATCCACCCAACAATGGCCAAAAGCATGATAATTCATCCCAAAAAGAGATCTAAACAACTAAGAGTCAAGATGAGAACATGATTCCTCTAAAACTTTGCAAAAGGAGTGGTGATTCTGGATCCAAGACCTTCTGTCCATGCTAAGCAACTTCAAGCTTCTCCAACTCCTTCAAAATGCAAAAAATGAACACCAAATTCTCTCCAAGGGCTCAAACACTCAATAATGGAGGCTAAGACTTGTTTCTAGGGTTTTGAGGCTTTAGAGGCTGGTAAGGAGGCAACCCTTAATGAATAAGGATGTTTATATAGGGTGCAAAACCCCTAATTAGGGTTTCGTTAAAGTCCACGTACGCCCATCGTACGTGACCGGGGTCCCGACTCACCATCAACTCAGTACGCTAAGCGTACCAAGTGGTACACCCCGCATACTGGCTTTTCAGCTAGTACGCTAAGCGTACCAAGTGGTACGCCCCACGTACTACTCCAAGGACTAAAATGCATATTTCCAAAAATAAAGGGCCATAAGGTACACACCAGGGTACAAGTGTTACATTAGTGGATCCGCTGTAGCAAAGAGCGTATCACAGTGTTCTTGGGTTTCTTCATTTCAGGTGAGTTTCACCTCGCTGTCCCCATGGGTCGAAGACACCAATATCGGCCCACTAGTTTTGGTTATCTTTAGTAGAAGGACGCCTTAAGGATTGTATATAGGCATGTAGGATAGATTGAGGACTCTTGATCTAGGCTCTTTTACTTGTTCCTTGTTTGGTTGTGGTTCCAGAGTAGGATCACATGTACGGGTGTCTATCTCACCTCTAAGTATATACGGTTATGCGTTCCTTAGATTGTTGGTATTTAGTATGTTGTTATGATTTAGTGATCTGTTAGACTTGTATTTTGGTATATATGATGTTGCTATGCGGTGGTGATCTGTATATCTGTATGTTTACCTGTACTTGCTGGTTAACATCTAGTTGAGTACCTTAGGGACTGTCTGTGGTCATGTAGGATAGCCTGAGAACTCTTGATCTAGGCTTTCTTGCCTGTACCTTGTTTGGTTGTGGCTCTAGAGTAGGATCATCTGTTTGGGTGGCTATCTCACTTCTGGTTACTAATAGTTACGCATTTCATGGAGGTTAGCTGGTAGCGGGACTGTATGCCGTGAGAGGACTAGTAGGCGGTAGTGACATGCATGATTGATGTTTGCCTATATTATATGCCTATTTGATCCTTGATTGTTTATATGTCGACATACAGTAGTGGTGGGTTGAGCCTGTCCTGCTTTGTGCTGTAGGCCAAGATAACTGGTGTGGGTCGGCTGTAAGCCGAAGGCACATAGGCTCGGGAGGAGCGGTTGGGTTGAGACTGTAGACCAACAAACCCTAGTATTCCGGCCCGGATAGACTGAAGGCCTGCGAGGCGGTCCAGTCAGGCCGAAGGCCCGAAGAGCGGCCAATATGCATTCGTATGTTTATCGTATTGGGTATTTTGGGGGAAACTCACTAAACTTTGTGCTTACCCAGTTGTTTATTGTTTCAGGCATCATCGGTCATCATGGGAAGGCGAAGGCGTGACTGTACACATTCATCAACAATAATGAAGATTCCACGCTTTAATATTACTCTGATTTTTATAAATGTATTTGGAATAAATGGTTTTCTCCATAACAGATTTATAATTGAGAAGATTTACTTAAATAAAATGAAAATTTTTGGTTGTGAAAATTGGATGTTACAATTAATTTGTTTGAGTTCTTGGTATTTCGACAGGCAAGGGAACAAGAACCATATTTGCTTCTCTCTCTCTCTCTCTCTCTCTCTCTCCCTTAGTAATTACAATTCATAATTCTCCACATTTTTTTAATCTTCTATTTTTTTTCAAATCCACATTGTTATTAATATTGTTCTGTATTCAATTTTTAATTTAGTCAATTATTATAGAATTAATGAATTTTAATTATAAGTAAAAATATTATATTTTGGGGCCCATTTTATAGCATAGGCCCCCTAAAATCGACGGATCGACCCTGACTAAAAGTAATTCAATATTGAGAGGAAACTTGTATTTACAAAGAAAGATAAATAATACTACAAATACTAACATTATCTAAAATTAACCTAGCTATATTGTTAAACATAAGACCTAATAGAAAAAGAGTCAAACAACTTATTATGCTAAGAGCTTGTACTCGAACTAGACTTCATCCACACTTGAATTTATTGGATGCAACCTGCGTGAAATTGTGTCAACAATATTTTTAATGGAGTTTGACTCATGCCTGTAAATTAAATATATAAGGGTCATTAGCACATACTTTAACAAATAGCCTTATCATAAACTACTACTGTTAGACAATGTTGCTTTGTGAGTTCTTAGCAAATGTTTATATCCAGTAGTAGTGAATGTAGTTAAAGCCTTAGTTTATTAATTAAGGCCACCAACGTCATCAAGAATAAATAAAATATTTGTATGCCAACCTACTTATTATCATCACTTTGTATTACCAGTTGTGTTTTCAAAATGGCTAATAGAACAACTTCAAATCATAGTTGTTGATTCCCTTCTAAAATATAGATATTGTTATTAGATTATTGCATAGTACACGTATAACTACATGGATAGATGTCCATGACTAGTTGTTCTCTAAAACCATGTATTTTACCATCAATAACTTGGCTTTATCCTTTAAAATCTTAGAAGGTATACGTATAAATGTCTTGTAGTAGAGCACACATATCTTAAGTATAAAAGTGAACAAACAAAGAAGAAAATTACCCATTGGCAATGTGTTGGGGTTCCCATCCAGAAATGTTACTTGCATCCACAAGTGCTCTTCTCCAAGAATCAATCTTGGTCTTGTTCTCCAGCTCATGCTTGGCCAAGGCTTCTTGGACTTTCCATATTTGTTCTCGTGGTGCAGAGAGCCATCCCCAAGGGTCATTTAGAAATGCTTGTCTCCAAGATTTAATTTTCTTCTTGTTCTCTAACTCGTGGTTGGCAAATGCTTCTTCATATTTTCGTTTTTGTTTTCGTACTTCAGAGGGATTAACATCATAAAATATGGGCATAACAATCTGGCCTTTCATTTGCCTGCATTTCATAATACATGCAAGCTCATTTAAGCACCATGAAGAATCTGCATAGTTTTTAGAGAATACAATGACGGCGATTTGTGATTCTTCGATGGCCTTCATAAGAGATGCACCAATTAATTCATCCGGAGAAAGTGTTTCATCGTCCTTGTAAGTGTAGATCCCCTTTTCTACGAGAGCTATGTAGAGATGATCCACAAAAGTCTTACGAGTATCTTCTCCTCTAAAACTAATAAAAACATGATACTTCCACACCTGAGAAGAATAGACCAGAGCCGAAGGAGAAGATGATGAAGATGCCATCAATATGTTGATTTTTGATATTGTATGTATGTTGATTATTGATATTGTATGTATGTGGTTTGAGCACATGAAATTTACTTTATATAGATAGATGTGAGTTTCTTTGAAATTTCCAATTTTATATAGAGAAGTGAATTTCCTTGAAATTTCCAATTTAATATAAAGAGATACGAGTTTCCTTGAAATTTCCAATTTTGAAAAGCTCAACGTATTTGTTTGGCATTTTCAATAAAGCTATCCTACAGTGACTTGTTTATATAATATTTTCATCATTAAAAAAAACTGTAAACTACATACCTATTAATTTAATCATATTTCAAGTTGTTGCGAAACAACCCAACATAGTTTTCTTTTAGTTTTGTTAATTTACTTGTGGCATTGTATTTCTAAAAACGAGAGCTTCAGAAACGAAAAATTAGAGGGGGTTTCAAAATAATAAATTTAGATAGATATGATGATAATTTTTTAAAATAAATAAGCTTTTGAAAAGGTTTAATCTTTGGAGAAGGTTAACAATAATAGATTTTTGTTAAATAGAGTCAGTGGGAAGCTGCGGCAAAATTAATAAACCATTGGAGGGATTAAGGGATGATCAATGATGTATTTTAAGAATATGCTATTACTATGACCATAATTTGATTATGCTTTGGTTCGATGGTATCCTTGTTATCTCTAAATGCTCATGGTTTGTTGAACATGTTTCTTGTATTGCGGGTGTTAATTTTGTAACACCTATCCAAAGTGATTCAAAGTCCTCTATCAAGATTTTATTTACGCCTAACGACAACATGTTCAACAAACCATGAGCAGAGCCATGCCCAACGTGATTCAGAGTCCTCTAATGGCAACATGATTTAGAGCAATTTCTCTGGTATATACCATTTCTTACCTTACATGTCAAAACTATTGAAATTGATTACATGGCTTGCTTTATTATACTTTCAATAATATCAGGGAGACCACATACAAATATTTTAATAAACATCTGTGAAACGTTCAATTCCAAACTGCTTGGTGGAAGGGATAGACCTATAATGTAGACAAGATTGTTGTAACTTACATTGTTATGTTTTCCTTGTTTAAATTGGTATGCTCATGCTGCTATCAATATGGTCACAAAACCTGACAATGTTGACAAGTTTTTGACTCATTTATGGAAATGGTCAATTTCTTGCGTAATGGATACTTTATTGACAAAATGTTCAAAATTATCATGTATTGGTTCACAATAAAATCACTGTAAGGACTCATCATGTTACTATACATGTATAAACATCACACAACATATTGTACTTATGAATTTAACAATTGTAAATAGAAACAAGTTCAATTAAGTAAACATTTTTCATTGCATTATGATATCCAACAAGTACCAAAAAAGTCATTCACAGACAAGTTAAACTTGATAAACATATCATAAAACTAAAGACAATTGTTACAGTTTCAACAACAAAAGAACCCCCTTTTCCATTCGAAAACGTACATCACCCCAAATACACCTAATCCTTCATTAGATGCTAAAAAATCAGGCAACAAGGAACAAAACCCATGAACCAAAGAACAAATACTTGTACTTGTTAATTAGCATCTGCACAACTTGGCGGAACTCATTCATGGACCTAACTAACCGGGAATAACTTCTACAGCTCTTAGACACATTGGGGGGCTCAACCATCCTACAAAACTACAATTGATTCCACTTTGAGAACAAAACCAGAATCTCCTACCTGGATTGAGATTCAAGATGCCAATATTACTGCTTGGGTACCACATGCACATATCACCATCTTCAAAATAGCTTCATGAAGCAGTTGCAGAGAGAGGAGAAGGAAGAAAGAGATGAAGAGGGCAGGAAAGGAAACTCTCTTAGCTTTTTACTTATGAATGAGATGGCTCACAAAGGAAATGATTGATCATGTGAGGGCCACATGACTCTCTTTAACAGTGGAAATAAATGGGGGTTAGGCTGAGGGACATCCAGTGCGGCGAAATCAAACCATAGGGACTCATGTTAATTTTAACTTTTTTTGCAGAGGGTATTCCATCAGTTGCAATGTGTCCATTTTCATGTGGATGGTCGAACCGTGGCACTCAAGTGCATGATTGGTATGGTCGATATCATGCACGATTGTCATCCTTAAATACCACGTGGCACTCAAGTGCTTGGTAGATCCCACATAGTAGCGATCATTCTTACATCATGTGGAGAATACTAGATGGATGTTTTACCATATTTCTGATGGGTTTTATACACAAGAACTTTCCTATGTGCTCATGCAAACCCTAATGCTTGGATCTAGATTTCTCTATTGTACATGCATTGTATCCAAGACTTACAAACCCTAGTGTAGCATACATATTTCGAATAATATCAAGTTATACCAGATCTAGATGTTTACCTCTTCAAAATCTTGGATCTTCTTCTTCTTGGAGCTTAGAGTCACAAGTGTAACTCCTCTAATGGCTTACAAACACCACATAAGCAAGAAGGCAATATGAGAGAGGGATGAGGCTCTAAATTTCGGCCCTAGGGTTCTCTTAGAAGCAAGTTCCGAAAATTGAAGGCTAGGGGTCTTATGTATACTGTTGGCTGCTAGGGTTTCAGTCAAAACCCTAATGGACAGCTTAATCACTAAGCAGCCCATGGAACCTTCTGGAATGGGGCCTATGGACGAAATTTTGATGGAATCTCATCATAATTTCGTTCTCCCTTTAATCCATTAGGTTTCCCAGCCCAAAATCCAACTATCACACATTTGACAGTTTAAGCCCCTATATTTAATTAATCTCTTTTAGCCACCAAATTAATTCTTAATTAATTTACGACTAATATTAATTAAATAATATGATTTCTCCTTTAATATATTAATCTTATAATATATTGATAAATCATAATATCCTCTCTCTCCATAAATTACCTTGTCAAGTTGCTTTGGTGAAGGCAACCCAAAAGGACCATGCACAACCGGGTCAAGTACATACCGAATATAGTTACGGGCTTAGACACTAATCCAACAGTCTCCCACTTGGATAAGTCTGATAACTATATCTCACATACGACTTCCGGATCCGGTTAGCAATCGTAGCTCTTATACGCTGCTGTCAACTCTGATCAAAATCCTGTCCTTTAGATAAGGGATCGTATAATCCTCTGCTCTAGATATCATGCTGACGATCACATGGAACATAGTCATACTTATTGTTCAACACATTTTTCCTTGATCTCTGATGTGTTTGACATAAAACTTAGTTGAACACATCAACTTCGTCCTGACCGGGCCCGGCACATAAGTCAAACCAAATCATCAAGTGGCCAGATATCGCTTTTATCCTCTTAGAATAAAAGGAATAGATAAACTTCGACTCATATGCTTTTACTATCTACCAATCAAATCATGCACGACGATGTTTTTTATAACATCAAGTTACTGATGCGTTTACACATCATCAATGTATAACTAACCAGCAAACAATAACCATATCTCTAAGTTTTAAGATTATAAGATATTATCGTCTTGCGATCACTTGTGATAAATTCCATGAAGTGATACCAGCAAGCGCGGGTTTATTCCAATGCTCAAATCATAATTCATAAGCACTCATGAACTTTGCAGCAAACCTTTGTCATGCCCAAAACCTTTTAGACAATCTACAAACAAATTCATGACAGTCTTCTTTCACATCTACTTCCAACATATGAGCGATTGTGGACCGTTTGAACAATCTTATTATTCAGGAAGTCAAAACATGCAAAATTGAAACAATAGATAAATAATCAACACAAGATAGTAACTTTACTCATAAATAATACACCTTTATTTATTCATCAAATGTCAAGTACAAATTATCTATTACATGTTTCCTATCTATCTAATCTAAACTTATATCGTCTTTCAGCCCAATACCCCTTGCATGCTGCAAGTGCTTAACCTTACTCAGTCCCTTTGTAAGGGGATCTGCTGGGTTATCTTCTGATGATACCCTCTTTACTATGAGGAGTCCTTCTTCTACCCGATGTCTTATGAAGTGATATTTTCTGTCGATATGTCTGGACCTGCCATGATCCCTTGGTTCCTTGGTCAAGGCAACCGCACCTTCATTATCACAGAAAATCTCCACAGGCTCCTTTATGGATGAAACAACTCCAAGGTCTTCAATGAAGTTCTTTAACCATATTGCCTCCTTTGATGCTTCACTCGCTGCAATGTACCCTGATTCACACGTTGAATCAGCTACAGTCTCCTGCTTGGAACTTTTCTAAGTCACTGCTCCTCAGTTAAGGGTAAAGACCCAACCAGACTGCAATCGGTAATTGTCCCGATCCGTCTGAAAACTAGCGTCACTGTACCCTCGTACCCTTAAGTCATCACTCCCACCGAGGACTAGAAACCATTCCTTGGTCCTCCGAAGGTACTTAAGAATATTCTTAACTGCAGTCCAATGAGCTCTACCAGGGTTTCCCTGATATCCGCTGACCATGCTCAAAGCGAAGGCCACATCAGGGCGAGTACAAGTCATAGCATACATGATTGAGCCAATTGCGGAAGCGTAAGGTACTCGGCTCATCTCAGCTATCTCTGTCTCTGTACTCGGGCTCTGATTCTTACTCAGCTTGGTATTGCTTTGGATTGGCAACTCCCCTTTCTTGGAATTTTCCATAAAAAACCGTTTTAGCACCTTATCCAAGTATGTATCCTGACTGAGTCCTATCAGTCTCTTACTCCTGTTTCTTACTATCCTTATTCCCAGAATATATGCAGCTTCTCCGAGGTCCTTCATAGCGAAGCACTTCCCAAGCCAGGACTTGACTTCCTGCAAGGTTGGGATGTTGTTTCCTATGAGTAGTATGTCATCGACATACAATACGAGGAAGCTCACTATACTCCCACTGGCTTTGACATATACACATGACTCATCTTCGCTTCGCAGAAAACCAAACTCTTTGACCTTCTCGTCGAAACAAAGATTCCATCTGCGAGACGCTTGCTTCAATCCATAAA